TGCCTGGTTGGGCTGTCAGGGATGTGCCTGGTTGGGCTGTCAGGGATCTCCAGGGCTCATCTCTGCACGGGCTCTCATTTCTCTCCCTCTACCAAAGGGCTTATCTTCAATTTGCTTTATGGTGCAGCCACTTTTTATATTTCTCAAAGAAATATTTCCGGTGACGTTCCCTCCCTTCACCACCTCCTTATTTTGAGGGAACTTCTTGTTCCTAACCAGAGTTCACCTGTTGTCCTTTCATCCTTTCCTCCTCATCTCCATGGTTGAATCAGTCATAACTGAGGTGCTGAGGAAAAGCCAGTCCAAAGTGATGACACACAGCATTAGTAGCTGTGCTGTTGGGCCTCTTCCAGTCCTTCAGGTCATGTTCTTGCCTTAAGTGAAGTTTTTGTTTGCATAGTGTCACAAATGTGATTTTTTTTTTTAAGGCTATTTCAATTAAAACGTTTGGGACACTCCAAAATTAGGAATTGAAGTTTCTTTCACAGAAATGCCTGACATAGTCTCCATGTCTGGGCCTCTGTGTCTGTGGAAGTGTTGCTGTTGATGGGAGCGTGGGGTTGGGCCGTTTGCTCACGTGGTGAGCTCATGTGTGTACTTTGTGTGCACACACCCACGGGTGGCAGACGGTGGGCACAGGGCACAGCTGCCCCTGGGAACACGAGTTCACTGGGGTGCCCATGGAGCTCCCTGGCCCTGAGCTCAGGCAGTGGGCACAGGGCACAGCTGCCCCTGGGAACACGAGTTCACTGGGGTGCCCATGGAGCTCCCTGGGCCTGAGCAGTGTGTCAGCAGGGAGCACTGTGGGATGTGTTCCTAAGTATTTCCTGTGTTGGTGTAGTTTTAGAAAAGTCTCCCACCGCGTCCAGAAGACGGTGGTGTTGTACCTCCCAGTGCCATTGCACTTCCTGGGGAGTGCTCTGAAACCTTCAGGTTGCTGATTGAAAGGTACTTTAATGGTTTAATAGACAGGCATTTAATTAGTTCCTGCTCAGTATCCAGGAGTGTCTGCTTGTGGTGCCATGGGAATCTGTGACTTGTGTGCCAAAGAACAACTGCTCCAGCACTGGAATGTTGATGTTGTTTTCATAAGCACTCACCTGTGAGTCTCTGCTTTGGTGTGCATGCAGGAAAGTGTGGCACCTCTTACCCTGCTCCTCCTTTATTCCTGAGCCTGCTGTCCAGCTGTGTTGGGCTTGCTGGGCAGGAATAAAGTGAGGAATAATATATCCTTTAAAATTCCAGGGAACAGGTGGGATAAGGAGAGAAAGCTGTTGCTGATAGTCTGTTAGGAGCTTTTGGAGAAGCCTGAGGGAAGTGGGAGGAGGGAAGTGCATGTGAGGTCTCGTGGCCATGGCATGTCTCTGTGTTCCACCTGTGTGGTGCTGGGGCTCTTTGCCTCCCCTGGTGTTCCTCCTAATTTGGGGTCCTGGGTTTAACACTCTGGGAATTGCAGGAAGCCAGACCATCCTTGGTTCTTCGCTTTCTGGGTTTTTGGATTTTCATTTTTTAACGTTCTCCTGTTAAATGACACAATGTGTGTGATTTGCACCAGGAAAGAACACACTTGAGGGATTGCACTGTGCCTGCTTTTGTGGCAGTGCTCCTGGGTTTGTGTCTTGGGATAGTTTCCAATGAAATTATACAATTCTTTCCATAAGTCAAATACAGATATTTTTGATTTCTGCTGGTTCATTGCTGTCCCTGGAGTGGACTGATTATTTAGCTGCAATGTTTTGATGGTCCTATATTATTTTTTTTAAATCACATTTTTCCCCCAGAGATTTTAAGAACAGCACTTTATTTCTTTTGCAGGTGAAGAGGAACGGGTTGTCAGAAGCCATCAGCCAGGAGGAGAGGAAGAGGCAGGAGGTATCTCAGTAACCTGTGCTTGGGGCTGGTTGCTCAGGGCTGCCCTGCTCCCCTGCTGCAGTGCTCTGTTGGCAAGGAGATGAGTTCATTGCTCGGCTTCCTGCCCCGGAGTGAAGTGTCCCCAGTCCCCAGGGAGAGTAAATACACAACCCCTGGCTGTTGCTGGGGTGCTGTGTCCCTGCCAGGGGGTTCCTGGGCCCTCTCCCTGCAGCAGGTCCAGCCTGGCAGCGGCACAGTCCCTGCTGTGCCAGGGAAGGTGTGACATTAACCCCGAGGTCACAGAGGGAGGAGGTGGCACATGCATTTTTAAAGGCAATGAGGAACAAAGAGCAGCTTTTACAAAGGCCCTGAGTTGTAACTCACCCTGCTGGACATGAGAGCACCGTGTCCCTGCTGTGACCTCTGCCCCTGTCCCCTGACAGAGCCAGTGCCTCCCTGGCAGTGCCTCCACCACTGCACTGACCTGTTCTCTCTCTGTCTCCTTCCCCTTTGCTCCTTTTGTCCTCTTGATCCACTTTCCTCTTCCCCTGTGCTCCCTGTGTCCACTTTATCTGCTCTACCCTCCTCCCTCACCTACAGGGGCTGTTTCAGAGGGGATGAGAGGTGTTGAAAGCATAGCCTGGCCTAGCCCAGTGTATTCCTGCAGTCCCTGAGGTCTGTCCAGCAGCAGGGACAAACAAGGTGTTTTTAGTAGAAACACTGTGGCATTGGGACCTGCCCTGGGAATCTGTCCCAGTGTCCTCATTTCAACTCAGGATATACCTCAGCCTCCTCCTGCTGGGAAGCTTTTGAGGCACAAGGCACTGGTTTCAGTCATACCCTTCAGGAACCTTTGGTCTGGGTTTCCTGAAGCCATCCTTGCAGCCCAATCATCCTTACATCTTTTCAAAGAGAACAAGTCCTTTGGATGCCTCTTACATGTAAAGTCTTTAATGTTACCAAAAATGTTTTCAAGCCTGAGGGTTTTTTATTTGAATATTAGAGGCCCATTCTTTCAGAGGGAGCCTAAATAAATATTCTTAAGCTGTAGTTGCATCACGAGGTTGTGCTATAGCTGTATTTCTTTTAAACTGCCTTTTATTAACTATTCTTTATCTAGTCTTTAAACTGCTTTTTAGAGCCTATTAGATTATTTTATAATTATACCATAATACAATGTCACTGCAGAAAAATATATTTGTTTGTTTTCTGCCTTGATTAATGTCCATGTCCTGTGTTCATACACATCCCACTTTTCAGAACCCATTAGTCAGATGGGTCTGTGCATCTTTTGGCTAAAGAAAATATGTCATAGGTTGGAACTAAAATTATTTTCAGCAGATCTTCTTTCCTTGCAAGCTGAAACTCTGTGTGTGTATGGACAAAGTGCAGTGTGCCCCTGGGCTCTTGAGAGTTCCTGTCCATTGGGGTTGGACACATGGACATGAACCACAGCCTGGCTGCAAGTGCCAGTCAGGAACTCTGCATCACCTGGGTGTGCTGGGCTTCCTGGGTGTCACTCAGGGTTGGTTCTGAAGCCTTCTTTATTTTTTATTCTTCAGGATGTGTTTGGGTCATGGTGAGATGATACTCTCTCCCTTCCTTACACTTTAGAAGCAAAGTGTCTTTCTTTTTTTTTAATTAAAAAAACCCCAGTCACTAATAAGTCTTTTCTTTCCCCCCTCTACTTTGCAGGCAATATTTGAAGTGATCTCTTCTGAGCACTCTTACTTGCTGAGCTTGGAGATTCTGATCCGGATGTTTAAAAATTCCAGGGAACTGAGCCTCACAATGACCAAAACAGAGAGCCACCACCTCTTCTCCAACATCACGGATGTTTATGAAGCCAGCAAAAAGTAAGTGCAGCATTTCTGCATTTAAAAGAGTTATACATCTTTAACATAAAAGCAGGTTTCTTCTTGGGAGCTGAAGTAACCATTTTACTGGTGACCATTTCTTCCCAAACTCGTGAGGTCAAGCCTGTGCCTGGGGAAGGCCCTGGGTGCTCTCAGCTGTCTCTGCACAGCTTTGCAGGGGTCTCTCTGCCTGTGGAACACAGAAGTGTTGCCTTCTTTCACAGAGGGGGCTCAGGGTTGAATAAGGAATCTGAATATTTTTTTCTCTGTGCCCTCTTCTTTTGTCTCCTGTGTAGAAATTGTCTTTCTTGTAGAAACTGTGATGTTGAAATCTGAATTCTTTAGCATTAAACCCTCATGTACCTTTGTGGAACTTGTGAAGTTTCGTGTTCCCAGTTGTGGTAAAGTCCTTTTTAGCATTTTCTCTGAAGCCCTATAAAGTCTGTGGGATTTGGCATCTGCTGGGCAGGAGTTTGACTTTGCCTTCTGAAGGTTTTGGAGTACCAAGGTTTTGTTCCATGGATGTACCTGGGAGAGAGGCTGATGTGTTGTGCCAAGTGCAAACCCAATTCAGGAGCTATGAACAGGGTTTGGGTTTGGTTGGGGTGCTTTCCCTTTCCCCTGTTCCCTTTACTCTCTCTCTCTCTTGTAGCTGAGGTCTTTTGCCAGGAGTTGGGTGTTGTGTGACCCCTCAGCCCCCTCAGGGGTGGGTTGTGCCCCAGCAGTGGGGTCAGGGAATGCAGGTTATCAAAGTCTGTATTTTCAAGGAAATGTACTTTTTAAAGGCTTCTCCTTACATGAGATGTTTTTTGTAAAAGTAGAGTATGGTGGGGGTGGGGAGAGCAATATTTTTAGGGGAACTCTCAAAACCCTTTTGATTAATGGTCTTCAAAGGAAGTGGGAGGGGGAGAGGAAAAAAAAAGGAAAGCATGGAAAAATACCACACTAGCCTAGAATTATAATCTCATTCTTTCTTGTCTGTAAAGTCCGATGGTTTAAGAGCTTGGCTCTTTTTATTACTTGGAGTAAAAACAGAAGTTGTAACTTCTTTTTACACTTAAATGAAAACATATTTTCTTTGCTGAATTATGCAATACTGTTAAACTGTAACAAAACTTTGTGCTGGCTTTGACCAACATCATTTGTGTAAATAATGGAAGTGATTTTAAACCAGAAGCCTCTTTCTTGGTGTCTTAAACTACCTCTTTCCATTTTCAAGGTCTTTCAAGGTAACAAAATCTATGCTTTTGTTATAAAAGTGAGCATCTGTCCCATTCTGCTGTATTTTAAGCAGCCTTTACTTAAAAACATAAAACCTAGGTATGGGTGTAGTTACCAGTGGGTTTGGTTGCTCAGGCAAAAGTTTGGTGAGCTGAAGAACTTGAGCTGATAAAAACACTTTATAAAAACCTTTAGTCCAAATTGCTAAAAGCTTCTATCTAGGAACTTTGCCTTGGAACATGTTTAGTGGAGACTCCAGAAATACCAGGATAGGCCTCTGGTGCATGCCAGGGCCATTCCTGGGGGAACAAAGCTGCCTTTGTTGGAAGCAGAATGCAGACAGCAGAGTCCTCCTGCTCCTGGGAGCTCCCTGGAATGTCTCTGACAGAGAGTGGAGCTGAATAATTCGGGCAGCACTCGCTGGGGTGTTTGTGAAACCTCTTGGAAGGTGCTTTGGAAAGCTTCAATCTTTCATTGTGTGTTTGCCTGTGTGTGAGATCTGGGAGTTGAGAAGTGCTGGAGCTGAACTGCCACAGGTCCAGGGGAGCTCTGGGCCTGGGCTGTGGGATGGTTTGGGGCAGCTTCATGAGGAACGGGCTGAGCACTGAGAAATCACAGTCAGGACAGCGGGCAGGAGAGGTCACAGCTCCCCAGGAGCCTCTCTGGGGAAAGAGCAGCCACAGGGAAACTGGGGAAATGTCTTGAGGAACAATTGGTCTGGCAGGTTAAATCACCAGGAAAGCTTTAGCATTTGTGCCTCTCTACCACCAGACCAACAAAAGGCAAAATACTTCTGTGGTCTCAGATGTGCACTGGCAGAGAAAGACACTAACGAAAGGATCTGGACAGGTTCTAACTGTTTGTAAGCTCTGTCTTGACTTCTTTAGGGTGTGTTTGTGAGGGAGGTTTACAGCTTGTCTGAGTATCCTCATTTAATTTTAAATGTGTGAATATATGTTAGGAACCAGGTAAGCTTCCTCACAGCACTTTTTTTGTAAATTAGATTAACGTGTCACCTCTTTCCCACATACTTTATGTGACAGAGATTCATTGCAGTCCTTGTGCTCATTTGAGTGTGTTGAATCAGTTAACAAGCATTAAAAACGTTACTGCTAGAGAAAGCAGAGTTCTGTTGCTCAGTTTCTTTGACAGATTGCAAAAAACCACCCCAAAACCTGCATATAATACAAAAAGGAAAAATAAGAACTCAAATATTGTGAGTAGAGCCTGTGAGTCCAAAATACCTGTTTTCCCCCCTTTAAATTTTAGGTGCCCACAGAACACATTTATGGATTTGCATCATGCTGATGAGCTGGGACAGTGCATTTATCCTGCTGTTTCCTTTGATTCCTTCCTCTGTGGGCTGTTCTGACACTGCACTTGTTGCTGAACTCTGTGGCTTTAACTTGTAGGAGTTGTGTGTGCAGAGGGTTCTCCTGGCAGCTGGAGCAGCTCTGGTTGCCCTGCACTGTTCCCTTGGGGTGCTCAACAGCAGCTTTACAAGGATGTGTAGTTGGGACTTGCATTCCTGGCCCAGGGATTGTTCTTTATAATTTGGTTTCTTTGTTGGAGACAAGATCAGATCCATGACTCCAATGCTCAGAACAGCAGATCTGACCAGGATTGCTCTGCCCTCAGCTCATCTCAGCTGTGGGACTGTAGCTGTGCATTTTAGTTGATTTTTAATTGCAGTTGCTGAAGCTTGGCAATATTAACAGTGTTTGTCAGATGAAAGGTGGTTCAATTGCTATTTTAAATTTACAAAACCAGTATTCTGGAACAGTGACCATTAGAGTCTTTTTTTGGTTTGCCTCTCTCTCAGGAATTCTAGGAACTTTTTCTTGCCTCTCTGCTCTTCATCTGCAGTGTCCTCTCAGTGTCTCTGTGTGTTACTGCTGCCAGAATTATCCTGACAAATTCATTGTCTTTGTGTCCCTTTGTGACTCCAAAGCTCTGTGCTGTCACTGATCTTCCTGTGCAGAGGCAGCACACAAGGTCTGTGACTGTGTCCCAGATTCCTGGGAGGAGACTCACTGTCAGGTCCCTTCAGAACTTTTCCTCTTCTCACTGGATTGCTTTTCAAAACTCTCCTGTCAGTCCTTGCTCTAATTCCAGTTCAGTCCTTTTTGTTCAGTTTCTTTTTTATGTCTATTATTAAGTATTTTTGAAGATAATTCTTCTTCTTTCTCTATCTCAGGACTGGCCTGGAGAGGCAGGAGGGGCAGGGACAGGAGCTGTGGGAGCTCTGTGGCCAGAACTATGGCATGGAGCTGCCAGCTGCCCTGACATCCATTTGTACTGCAACCCATTCCTGTATGATGGAAACATGTTCTCTGTTTAAAAAAGAAAACAAAGAAATCATCCCAGGGCAGCATTTGCAGGTGATTTCTTGCAGCCTGTGGCTCTTCTGTGGCCCAACCTCTGCACAGAGTGATTTATGTGAATACTTGTGTTTGAGGACAGTAGAACAAAAGTACTGAAAACCTGTAAAGCCTTCCAGCTGTAACCCAGACTGTGTGTGTGTCCTGCAGGTCCCTTCCTGCAGAGCACTGCTGTCACAATCCCTGGCACTGCCCACACAGACCCTCTGAAGCCACTGGGCTTCTCTGGTGGGACTTGCAGGGCTGTTCTGGGAGCAGCTCAGGGATCTCTCACCAGTACTTAGATTTACTGTTGCTGCAGGAAGCACAAAAGAGACCAACTGTGTTTATCTGGGTGTTCTTTTGGCAGTAAAGTGGGTGGAGGTTCAGCAGTTCCTGGGACTCACATCCCAGCTTTCCTTGGGCAGAGCCTGGTGCAGAGGGAAGCAGCAGCTTCTCTTTGCTGGGGCTGTGAGGTCAGTGTGGTTTGAGATGTGCCACTGCCCTTCTTGCACAGCAAATGTGCAGCTCTGAGAAGGCACCAAGGTGTTGGTGAGCCTGGAAAGCTCTGTGTTCAGCCAGGCTGGCAGGGGGAGGATGGATGTGTGTCCCTGCTCCTCTCAGGGGCTTTGGGGTCAGTGTGCTGTGTTTAAATGAGATTTCAAACCTGCAGTTCCCGAGCTGGAGGCTGTCCCTGCACACCCAGGGGCTGGGCTCAGGCCTGCCCATTGCTCTGGGGGCAGTCAGGTGGGTCTGTGTGGGGTTTGTACCAGGGGAGTGCAGTGAGGTGGGGCTGTGTGGGGTTTGTACCACGGGAATGTGGGTCCTGGATAAAGCAGTGCCAGGGAGGAGGAATGAACAGCCTGAGGGAGTTGCCTGAGCAAGTGTCAGGAAGTTGCTCCTGGGGGTCATTCCAGGAGCTGATCTGCCCGAAGACACGGGAAGAGCCTTTACAGGAGCCACCAGAGCTGTGAGGAGGAAATCATTGTCACACAGGGCAGAACCAGCACTGCCAGGAGGAAATCATTGTCACAGAGGGCAGAGCCAGCACTGCCAGAGCTCTGGTGTCTCTGGAGCTTGTGCTGGACACAAACAGGGAATGAGCTATACCTGCAGTCCTGGATTTGGCCCTCAGCCTCTAGGGGAGGGGCTGGAGTGGTACAGATTGGATGTTTCTTTTAAACAACATAAGGGCAAGATGAGGGAAATTAAATTCTGTCCTGTGATACTGTTTGACTTCCACTTAATTGGATGTAACTTCAACCAGAAAAGTTCTGGAATTAACAGAAACAGATTCTTTAAATAAATCCTTCTGGTATTCAGCAAAAAAAGCATCACACAGCACAGCTAATTCCTAGTTGGTTAAATTGAATTTAATCACTTCATCCCTCGGTCCTGAGATGTGACAGAATATGTCCTAAATTTATAAGTGAAAGGGTTTATGGTGTGTCTGATTCACTGATTGTATCTAGGAATTAGCAGATTGGATGTGAAAAACCACAACCTTTCATCCAAACTTCAGTGCACGATTTCCTTGTAGTACATGTTGGGGGATGGACTTGGGGGTGCTGCTCCTCTCTGCTCCTCTGTTCCCTTTTTTCTTTATCCCAGATTTTTATGAATCTTACAGTGACTGTGTCTGATGTCATTGATGAAGCACCAGATAAATTCTAAAAGTGGAAGTTGTGGCCCAGCAGGGTCCAACACCTTGTCAGGGTGCCATAACCCAGCAGGAAACTCTGGATTTCCTCGTTTCCTGAGCACAGTAAATTGGCAGCAGTGGGAGGTTCTCCAGCTGTAAATGTGTCTGAGCAGAGAGTGAGGAATCCCAGTTCCTGGTGGGCAGTGGTGGGAATCTGTTGTGGTTCATGAGAAATTGCACTCTGTGACTTGGAGGCTCTCTTTTATTTCATTTTTTTATTTGTTTTTTTACCTTCTTGGACCCCAGTGACACTTGAGGCAGCTCTTCCCTTTGGTGTGTGTCCCTGGAGCTCTGGGAGCAGTGAGTGGGATGTGCCCCTTAGGGCTGGTCCTGACACTCAGCCCAAATCCCCAGCACAGCACAGTCAGTGACAGCTTGGAGTGTGTTGTGCTTTGGGAGGATGGGGGCAGAGGGGACAAGGCTGTTCAAGAGCCCCACTGAGAGGGGAGGGGAAGGGGGAAGCTGTGGTAGGGCGGGTGGTGTCTCTTTGTGGTGCCCTGTTTGCCATGAAATGCCAACACAAACATCAGCCAGTGCATGTGCAGGTACTGTGTCCAAACCTAACAGAACCAGACAAAATCCAAAATGGGACAAAATCCCCTGGATTGTCCTGACTCTGACTGACCCAGTGGGAGCCTGGCAGCCACTCAGTGCAGCAGCTGCCTCTGGAAAATGCCTTAACTTAGTTAACCCCTGTTCCTACACACGTGGGTGATGAGCTGCTGTTCATCCCGTTCTCCTCCTCTCGCAGGTTTGAGGTGTGTTTGCAAAACAGACTCTGGAGAACATCAGTGGCACACTTGAAAAAAGGTGACAGATTTGAAGAGCCACTGTTAGTGATGAGAAAATGGAATAAAGGGCTGAAATGAAATAAAACAGGTTTCAAAATATTTGAGTTTGATGTAGGATCGTGTGTTCCAAGTATTTCGTTAATGTTTTCTCTGCTATGTGAGAATTTTTAACGAGCTCATTGACTCCAGGGAGCTGAGGGTTCTGGCAGTGAATCCTGATGTACAAAGGCTGTGGCCAGGGCTGGTGAGATATTGTCAGCAGCTTTGCATGTGTGAGGATGGCACTGGTGTGCTGTGGGGAGAACTGTGGGGACCTGCAGAGCTGGTCTGTGTGAGCTCTTACTCCCCAAACAGGGAGAGGTTTCTAGCGAGTGTTGTGGAAATCAAGGCTCGTGCTGTGGGAAAGTTAGGAGTGCCAAAAGGAGTGGGAAGCTTCCAGAGGCCAGAGACTTCCATGTGGGACAACAAGCATGGTTAGGGGAGGAGCCAGCTGAGGATTTTGGATTCTGTGCCCGTTTTCAGTGTTTCCAATCTGTGTTTGGTTCCAGGGTGGGTTGGAGGATGTGGAACATGAGCATCATGTCCCCCTCTGCCAACCATGGCTTTTGTCCTGGGCTCAGCAGTCACACAGACCTTGATTTCATTGAGCACTTCTGGCGTTGTGCTGCCTTTAATTGCAAGAGGAAATGTGTTAATGTGTGTTTGAAGTAGTTTCATTTCTTTTCCAACCCCATTTCTGGAAATTCTGGTCTGACCAGCTCAGTGATGCTGTTTGGGTTCTGGCACTGGGAGAGTGGGAATTGCCTCTGCCAACGCTGCTGCTGAGCTGCCAGGGGACACCAACTCCTGGATTTGTGTCCTGTCAGGGTTTCCCTCACTGCCCTGCCAAAGGAGGGATGATCTCACCCTGTCACCACCCGTTCCAGTTGTCGTTAGTTTGTAAAGTCCCGGCTCGAGGCAGGTGAAGTGGGAAATGCCATGAGAGTAAGATGCTGTTTTCTTGTCCAAGTGAGGAACCCATTTCCTCTTCCCAGGTTCTTTGAGGAGCTGGAGGCAAGGCACCAGAACAACATCTTCATCGATGACATCAGTGACATCGTGGGGAAACACGCAGCCTCCTCCTTTGACCCCTACGTGAAGTACTGCACCAACGAGGTGTATCAACAGCGCACCCTGCAGAGGCTGCTGTGAGCACCCGGGAGGGAGGGGAGGCTCTGCACTTGGGGGCAAAACCTGTGGCTCCCAGCATGTGCTGACAGGCTGAGCTGGCCCTGCACGCTCCTCCAAGGAGTGGGGAGTGGGGACTCGCTGGGCTGCACAGCCCAACCCTGCCCTGGTCACAGGGTTCCCTCTCCTCCATCAGTTCAGTGTCCCACGGGCTCCCCTGGGGCTGCCCTCACGGCCAGGGATGGCAGTGCCTCAGTTTGGTGTCAGTGCCAGGCTTAGGTGATCCAGCTCCTGCAAATCACACTTCCCTGGCAATGAAACCAGGATTTATTTGAGATCTAGCAACTTGCACAATTGTTTGGTAAAGCACACCATTTAATCCTCTCCCTCTTTTCCCCCAGAGCCACAAATCCAGCGTTTAAGGAGGTGCTGTCCCGGATCGAGTCCCACGAGGATTGCAGGAATTTGCCCATGATCTCCTTCCTCATCCTTCCCATGCAGAGAGTCACTCGTCTCCCCTTACTGATGGATGTGAGAACAGCTATTTCTCTCTTTTTCCTTGATACATGTTCCTTCAGTGTTCACATGCTCTCATACTCGATTCCTGGTTCATTCCAGTCTCTCCATATCTTCCCCCTTGTGCCAGTCCAGGGCTGTGGATTGTGGAGTCCTGCTGCATTTTTTACTGACTGTGACTGGTCCCTCCTGCTCCTGACCCCCATTCACAAGTTAAAGATTTGGACATTCTGATAGGAAAATTGTACAGTAAAGGTCACAATAATTTTGAAACCAAGGAGGCTCCAGCACAGAAATTGTCTGTAGTGGAACTCCATTCCCGAGGGATGAACTCCATTCCCGAAGGATGGACTCCATTCCCAAGGGCAGGGGAGCTGTGTGTGGGTGGCACTGAGCTGTCCCTCCCTGGGCAGTGACAGGGGAGTGTGATGGCAGTGCCAGGAGTGTTGGTGCCACAGTTCACCCCAGGGCTTGTGGCAGTTGAGGTGAGGTGCCAGAACCAGAGGAGGAGCTGGAGCACCCGACTGGGATCCAGGCTCAGAGTCCAGCTCTGGTGGGAGCCAGAGACAGGGCTGATGATTTGGTTCTGTAGGTTTGCAAATTGGACACTGATTAATTTGATCACCTGGGCAGTTCATCCATGGACTCTGAGTTCTCTGTGGGTTGCAATCTGTGCTGCTTGGTCCTCTGAGTAACTGATGTTTTATTTCAGACCATTTGCCAGAAAACTCCCAAGGATTCAGCAAAGTATGAGAACTGCAAGCAGGCTCTAAAAGAAGTCAGCAAGGTACATTCTTAAGTGCTCACTGAAATTTTTCTCTGCAGAATTTTTCCTGCTTTGACTGTTTTCCTTCATGAATTGCCCTCCAGGCCTTTGTCATTTCAGAAACCCACCAGAGAAGTGGCTGCTTTGGGGTTTTGTTGGTCACTTGAGAATTAATTTTCATGTTTATCGTTCACCTGTTTAATTGTGTAGTTGGACAAATTTATTGTGTTTTATGCCAGTTGTTCCAACAGAAAGCCCAGGGTGGACTGTGTGCATCACAAACCCCAGAACAGTGTCCTGACAGCAAAGAAAGTCTGAATCTTCTGAGCAGACTGAACTGAACCAGCTGCCCTGCTGTCAGCAGCTTCAGAGCTGCTCTCCTCAGTCAGGGTTTTCTGCCAGGAATCAGTGGTGGGAGATGAGCAGGAGTCCAGTTTCCAGGCACAGACTGTACATTACAACTACAGTGACTTGGATAATGAATGTGGGTCCTTCCCTCTGAACCTGTGCAAGCAGATTATCCCTTGTTTTGTTTAATTGCTGGGAAATTCCAATTGATCTGCTTAATGTATTTATATTCTAGAAAAGACACCTCTTTAAAACAGAACGTGGGGGTATGAAAAGAAAACTGGGTTTTTTTGCCTCCCAAGATCTCAGCATTTCAGGAGCTGTAGTGTATCATGGGCTGATGTGAGATGGGAAGTGCTGGGTGTTGTTTAGTAGAACAAAAAACTGCTTCTCTGCTTGCTGGGGCTGGACATTACCTTGGCCCAACATTCCTGTGCACTGTGAGGGAAAAGGGATGGTTTTTGTGCAATAATAATGCAGATGGGAGGAGCACTGAGGCACAAAAACTCCACATTGCTGTATTTAAGAAGGGCCCCTGGGGATGGGTTTCACACCAGAATTACTGGTTATTACTTGGGAAAAGAGCCCAGACTGGTGCCACTGGTGCTGCTGGGTGTGTGTGTGGGAGCAGAGCGTGGCTGGGAGGAGGGGAGGGCTGTGTTTGGAGCTGCTCATTCCCCTGGAGCAGAGCACTGTGGCCCTGCTCAGCCAGAACCTGGGCTGGGCTCTGTCCCACTGCCCCTGAATAACCAGTTCCCAGGGTCCTGGGGGGCTGTGGGGGTCAGGGGGTCTCGGGGTCAGGGCTGGGTGTGGGGCCAGCCCTGGGCACTCCCCTGTGGTGCCCCAGCCCGGGGTGTCACTGCTGGGGGGCTGTGCCTCCCTGGCAGTGCCTCTCCTGAGGGAGCAGCAGTTGGTGCAGTCCCTGAGCCCAGCTCAGCCCTGTCTCCTCCCCAGCTCGTCCGTCTGTGCAACGAGGGCGCTCGGAAGATGGAGAGGACGGAGATGATGTACACCATCAACTCCCAGCTGGAATTCAAAATCAAGGTATGGGCAGGAGGATGTTTCTGACCATTTCACTGAGACAGGGAGCAGTGGAATTCTTACCACGCTGTCATATCCCACAGTGATTCTTGCAAAGAAACCATCTGATGTGTCGGGACAAAAATTAAAATTTTGGTCAAGTATTGTCATTTCTAGTATAACGTGGCACAACAGCACAAGGATTTTGAATATACACTGAAATAAGAGTATTCTTTGCTGTGAAGACTAAGCTGCTGTGAAGATTTTGGCATTAGATGCTGCTCAGTGCTGGGGTGTTCTCATGTACCTGAGGGGCAAGATGTCCTGGGAAAAAGCTTCCAGGCCAGGGAAGGATCCTGGGGATGTTTGTCCTTTCTCTTAAGGGTGGGACATCTCAGGTTTGTGTTAAAAAAATCATCTCCAGTCAGTCTTTGTGGTAGGAATAACCAGCAGACCCAGTCATATATAGCAGGGGGTTTATTGGACTTTGAAGATCTTTCTTCAAGTACATTTTTTGTTTTCTGTTCAGTGTTTGCTGAAATGCCCTTTCTGTCCTGAGTATCTGACACTTACACAATGAGGATTCCTTTGAGAGAAGGTTGTTTCATTATCAGACGTGTAGTGAGTGGAGGTTCACGTTTTAAAAGCGTGACTCTTGCGAGGGTCAGGCTCTGGGGAAACGCTGCCTCCAAAAAGAGCTTTTTCAACTTGTCCAAAGGATTTTTATTCTCAAATTTTGACTAAAAATTGAAACAGTGCTAATATTTGCATAGAGCAACAGCAACAACAAATAAAACACTTCTGGCCAAGTGCCATTTCCTGGCAGAGTTGATACCAGGCTCAGGTGAGCCCAGCCCGGTGCTGGGGCTGAGCCCCTCTCTGGTTCCACTCAGTTCCCAATCCCAGGAGCTCCTCGGGGGTTCCTGTCCCTTCTCTCGGGATGGGGGCTCTGTCCATCCCCTCCCTGGGGGGGCTCTGTCCATCCCCTCCCTCGTGCTGGTGCTGGGGCAGCAACAGCAGCTCTGGGGGCTTTGTCCTTCTGTGCTTTTATGGGAGGTTTTTCCTTTGTGCATCCCAAATGCAGCCTGTGGTGGCTCAGGCCCTGTCTGGTCGGGGCAGTTGCCAGCTGGCAGAGGAAGCCCCACTTTGGCCAGGGCTCAAGGCATTTTTCAGCTCTGAGAGCCTGTTTTCTGTAGCAGGGAGATGGTGCACGTGATGTGCTCCTTTGGCAATTAAGGAAAAATTAAAGTAAAACCAAGCTGCCTCTGGAATAGAGTCAATTAGGAAAATGGGATGAACTCACTTGGAGTACAGATTAGAGGAATTTTTAGTTCATCCTCAAATAGAACTTTTTAAAGTATTTTTTGCTTGTAAACCAATCGTCATGGGGCTGTAATTCTGTTTTATAACCATTATAAATTAGTTGAAGTATTTCTGTTCTTGCCCAGCCTCACAGAGTGTTTAGGGATTTTTGTTTATTATTTTGTTAGATGTAACTGTGGAGAATTTCGTGGGAGCACAAGAGAAGCAACTCAGATCTTGTGTCACTTTTGTCCATGGCTCATCTCTAGAACTGAGTTTTTAATCAAGGTTCAGAAGTTCTTAAACTTTTCATCCTCAGCAGCACAGAAGTTGTGGGGGGTTATTTTCAGGGGTTCCTGTTCTGTTCCTCCCCCAGTGGGGTCTCAGTCCTGGCTGGGCTGGTTTGGCTCAGCCCCCTGGGCAGGTCCAGGCAGGGTTGGCTCAGCACAGGGATTAAGGGATGCACAAAGGCAGCTCATGCAGAATGGGAAGGAGCTGACAGGCTGCAGGAAGGGGGGTGTTTTAAAAGCATGTGAAAGGTGCCTAAATGAGGGGAAAACAGGCAGCTGTGTTGGTTAGTGTGGCCCTGCCCTGGGCTGTGTCACAGCCTCAGAGAGGGTCTGTGTGACCAGGACACACAGTCTCACATCTCCCTTCGTGTTCATGCACAGAGAAACAAAAGGGCCTTCTGTGGGCTCTGCTTCTCCTGCAGGTGGGAATAATTTGGGTTAATAAATCCAGACCTTCACATCAGGCAGCTCAGACCCTGTGTGGCTTTGCTGCAGGTGTTGGTCCTCACCCAGAGAGAAACTGTAGAATCCTAAATTCTCCATATTAACTAAAGCCTGGAGGTGGACAGGACTTGAGGGGCTCCTCTTGAGAACAGCAGCCCATGGGAACACAGCAGAGGTGTGGGGTGGTGACAACCTTGGAAGGAAGAAGGTTCTCCCTGCCCCTCCGGGGGGGTGAAGGGTTGTGCACACCTGGCTGAGTGTCCCGGGTGACACCAGCACAGGGAGTGTCTGCAGCACCCAGGGAAGAGCCGGGAGGCACCGGGAGCACAGTCCAGTGGCCTCAGGAGCCTCAGGAGCCATCGCTTCTCCACAAACACATTCCTGGAGGACAGGCTCGGTTTTACTGCCCTCGGGAGGTCTCACAGTCTGTTCCACCCCGAGTGTGACCAGTCAGGTCTGTTCATTTTTACTTTTGGTGAGCAATGATCAGGTGCCCGAGTGATTCCCAGGTATTTGCAGCTGTTACCTGTGTGTTGTAGGAGTGCTGGAGGTCCCTTAAACCGTGGTAACCCCTTTGTGATCTCTGAGCTCTGAGTTTATTCAAGCATCTTCCCCAAATACATCGTACTCTGTTCTCTGATTTTTTTAAAATATCTCTACATTTGGAGGACTAAAATGTGATTTTCTTGCCTTGCAGCCCTTTCCACTGGTTTCCTCTTCACGGTGGTTGGTGAAAAGGGGTGAATTAACAGCGTATGTAGAAGACACTGGACTCTTTTCCAAAAGAACCTCTAAGCAACAGGTCTACTTCTTCCTCTTCAACGATGTCCTCATCATCACCAAGAAGAAGAGGTAAGAGCTTCACCAGTATAAAACTGCCTTTGTGTTCAACTCCTTGAAGTGTTGACTTCTAACACGGTGGTGGCTGAGAAATGAGTTCAGGAGTTATTTGAGTCTCTGTCCATCAGCCCCTGGGTACGAACGACGAGTAACTGCTCATTAAACAGGATTTACTTTTGGCAAACACAATTGAAATTCCAAACTGTCAAACCAGTTAAAAAGCTCATTCTTGATGCCTTAGCCAAGGGAGAAGTTTGGGAAGGATAAAGGAGCAGGAATGTCCATTCCCCTCCACGCTCCCCACGCTTGGGTGGTTTTTGAGGATGGTAGATGTGGTGCAATTTCCAGCAGTTGCCATTTACATTTTTATCACTGGATTTGAGGGGAGGTGTAGAGTAATCAAATTGGATGGAATTTATATCTCCTGCTGCTGCTGTTGGGTAATACTTGAGAAATAAACCTTATTCCTGAGGCTGAGAACTATTTTTGCATCTGGGTTGGCCTGTTCAGCCAAACCCTTCTGTGAGACTGCAAACCTGTAATTGAAATAAATTTTGAGGAGTGGGGTATGATATAACATTTGGGAAGAAAATGGTGATATTTAAGCAAAGAGAAACCAAAGTGAAGGGGGAGAATTATTTAAGTGGAGGTTTTTTCTAGAGCTGGGAAGAAATGTGCCTGGATTTCTCCCTGTCTGCTGTGCTGGTGTGAAGGTGTCTGAGATTCCGTGTTTATTGAAGCTCGTGCTGGGTGTTTGTGGGACAGTCCCTCGTCCCCTCCTGGCAGCTCTTTGCAGAGCTGGGTCACACTGGGTTAAATGTGGGGCTGCTGTGCTGTGCCAGTTTGGGGCTGGGGGAGCAGGGACAGTCCCTGATCCCTGTCGTTCCCTGTTCACTGCTCCCTGTTGCTGTCCCCATCACACACCAGATTTGTGTAACAGCAGCTCTGATCCAAACTCGGGCTTTGGGTTTGTAACACCTTCAGCTGCTGGAAGGGAAATATCCCAGCTGAGCCCAGAGGCCGGTGACAGAACCTTTTGTGTTACTGGCACACTCACAGGGTTGCTCTCCCAGGATACCCAGTAGAAGGGATGTGATGGAACAGCAGGAATTGCTCTGAGCCCCCGATACCCTGAGCACGAAGCTCCCCCTGCCCAAGTGACAAAGCTGTTAACAGAGTTTGGGCTCTGGGTGCTCTGTGCTCCCACCCACAGTGTTGCCATGGCACTGCAGCACTGACAGAAATGTCGGTTGCTAGTTGAGGTTAAATATTTGTGTTTTTCCTTGAGCAGTTGCATTTCAGAAGATTCTTAGCATTGCAATAAGACATCACTTTGTGCTAAAAATAGAGCTTTGTGAGCGCTGCAGTGGCAGAGTTTGGTCCTTGCCCAGAGTCCGTGGGCAGCCCCGGCTCGGCCCATCCTCAGCCCATCCTCGCCGGCTCCATTCTGGCTCCATGCACTGGTCCCTGTGGGGCTGTGGGGTGGCACTGCCAGGACAGGCTCTGACCTGCGGGGCAGCAGCAGCTGCTCTGTCACACTGGCCCTGTGAGGGAGTGAGGCAAAGGGCTCCCGAGTCATGGGGCTGCTCCCTGGGATCGGGCCAGGAGGGGACATGGGAACTTGGGATGTGTCACTGTACACAAGGCTTTGGAGAGCAGTAAAACTCTGCTTCTCCCACTGCCCAGCTTTTAGTTCATTGGGATTGTTTTGTCTGTCAGTTGTCCTTGTAGCTCCTTCTGTGTGTAGGCACAATCCGACTCTTTTTCAAATATCATTAAAAAAAGATTTAATACTTCTAAGGGTTTAATGGGGCATCTTGGCAGGAGCAGTCAGTGCTGGCAGGCCAAAGGTCACTGCTGCTTGGGAATGTTACCTTCCAAAGGTCACTGCTGC